TCATGGTAACGTCGTCAAAGTGGAGGAAGCAGTACATCCGGCGTGTTGCTTGTAAGGGTTAACCTTTGGCTGTCACATGCAAAATGTCACATCCGAATGAACAATTTTAGGTTATTTTGTTGCCGTCCCCGTAGGTTGTCTATATATCATGTCTTGTTTTTACACAAATACCAAGACATTAAGTTGGGAAGACGGGTCGTGAATGGTTCTTTTTTTTGCAATTACATTAACAATAGAATCCCCATCTCCCTTTCCCTCCCTCCCTTCCTCCACCTCAAACGTATACAACATTATCTCATGATATTGACAGTAATAATAATAAACCAAGCTAAATACAAGTAACTTACAGGACCATACGATCAAATAGCCATTGGTTATATGGACTGGTATTAATGTAACACATACAAACTGACAGACAAGAGATGTGTAAAATATAAAAGTAAATCAAAGCACATACACATACACATGCTACATGTTAACTATCATACATGTTGGACACATCCACATTTTTTCTCATAAAGACTTTTGCTCTAGTTAAAACAGTTTGGTACTATTCTCCCAAGAAGAAAGATAGCACCAGTTGTTTCAGCAAGGGCACCATAAACAATATCAGTTTACCCTCAACCGCTAAAGCCCTCTAGAGACCGTAGTAACTATCACAGGAGCAAGTCAGGTAATGTTGTTATGACAAAGTCTACATATGGAGGAGGTTAAGATGGATGGATGGGTCAACAAAACATTGGACTTTAACACAGGAGGTCGCTGTTAGTTTCCCTTTTCCAACCGTCAGACTTTTAAACAAAAAATCATGATCACGATCTTTCCATAACCACGTGTTTATAAGGCTGCTATGTGTCGTTCTGAAGGGCATGGACAAATAACATGTTATGTTGTTTAATTTGGGGGACTGGTTAAACTCATGCTAAGCTTTGCCTCAGTTCGTGCAGTATAGACTTTGCATCTGTTCACTTGCTTCTTTCCATGAGCCTTGCATTCTGGCTTAACACACCCTCAAAGACTAGTGTTACTGTAAGTCTAGTTTTAGTCTGTCGAAGGTTAACTCAGCTTGCCTCAATCCACATTGACTAAAATATTATCATAAGCAATGGACAAAAATATGAAGATCAAAGGTTTGCAAATATCGGAATCTCCCTTTAAGCTACAGACTTACATACTGTCCTGGTAGACAGTAAATATTTGATTTTAGCAGTTTATTTATTAAACTTCTAAGATAAGTTATATGAATATAATCCATCTGTGGCTTTGAGTTATGGGTAGTTGCGTGAATGTTACCATGCTGGATCCTGGAGAGCTTTGTTTCATAAAGAGGCTTGTGAATATCTGTCTGTAGCTCCTTTCAGGCTTCACCTCTTTAGGGAGGCATCGGAACAACCTGAACCTGGCTGCCAACTTTCTCTTTCATTACACAGCGGTCATGATGTAGCACAGTTTGAGGCAAACTGAGAGCGCTACCGCATGAAACCACACAGAGCGAAGTAAGAACCATTAAGAGATCCACCGTGTCAACATGACCTGCAGTCCTGCCCCACGTCATTATTCTGTGTGTCAAACCATTTACACACCTGCTGGGAGCTGGAAGAACACGCCACTGCAGACACAGACCTACAGAAACCTGAGCATGTAAAGTACACCAGCAAACACACAAAGGCACATGTGCAAAAGGGTGAACACACACAGAACAATGGCATCAGACGAACAGAAGCCAGGTGCATGTCCTTATGATTGTAAACAACAGAGAGCACACAAACGCAATTTGCACTTGATCTTCACAGAAAAATCGAAATAGAACAAAAAGAGAACATATGCAGCTGATCTACATATAGCATATTGTGTTTTTCCCCGCAGAAACTGAAATTACAGGCTACATTTTGGGAGCTGATTGGAGTCTGAAGGCCAGAGTGTGGTTTGATGCTATAGCTTGGTCTTGGTTTATGCAGGGTTAGAGTCAGGCTGGTGGCCTATGCAGCTGTGGTGTGCATACCTAGAGAACAACAAAGAGACTTCATGCTCAGCCTATGTGCCCTCGTGCCATTTTTGGCATCCTTGAAACCAGTAAATTATATAAGTGTGTTGTGCAGCAGGTTTCAAGGCCTTCTCATTTTATAGCTATGGTCAGCAAGTCCTCCAAACTAAATGACAAATATGTCTTTGTCATTGCCTTCCACAACAACATACTGTATATGGACATATTGTGATCAGACACCCATATGAACAGGACAAGATAGTTTGCCTTCCAAAACTCTTAGAGACAGTCCTGTAGGACTGTTATGATTGATGTGATTGTTAACCTTGTTGGTTAATGCTGGGATCAGAATACACATACTTTTTACAACTATTGGTTGGATTTTCATGGTCCAGATATCCAGATCACGCAGAGGATTAACCCCGATGACAGAAATATCTCAAAATATTTGTTTTGAGAAAAAATGTCTCAATGTTTGGCTGAATTCACTTGTCACATCCATGTCGCCCATAGGATGGATTGCAATAACTTTGGCGATGCCCTGACTCAGAGTAACAGTAAACTACATGTTGTAGCCTGCAAATGCCCTGACCAATCACACCTCGCTGTGTTTCACAACTTGCAGGACGTGCACACTGTAGGTAATTGAAAAGGAGTGGCGATTGATTTCCCAGATCGTCCTGATAGCATCAACATCATCCATCTTTCTCTCCACCATATTTACAGCTGTGTGCAGAAGACCACTTTGTGCTCTTATGGGTCTTAGGACACATAAATTGCCGAACTAAGGCAAAAAAAAGTCTTTGACTGTAGTTTTTTTTGTTGGTGACATCATGAGGTGGCCCAGATGCTCTATTGGTTGGGCCATTATCAGGCTCATGTAGTCTGATCCCAGCGTAAGGTCAGATGAAGGTTGTGGTCACGGTTGATGTTGTCTGTCGGTAGTGAATGGAAAACGTGTCCTGTGTCCGACGTGCTTTGTTTACCCGTCCATCCACCCAATAAGGGGTTTTGGATTGCTGATAATAGTTAATCATCTTTTTCTGTTATGTTTAACAGATAATAGTCACATAGGTCTCTTTAAGTAGATAAACAGGTTGTTTTATATTAAATAAATGACAAATGCTCTATATAGTGAGGACAGACTGTATATGGTATACATACTATAACTATAGAGCTTAAGAGCTATTTGACCTTCCCTTCTTGCTGGTTTGTTCCTTGACTTAGTTTCCAGCTTCACAGACGTATGAAATATGTGTCAGTTTGTCAAACATACAGAGTGACAGGCGCATTTCTCTTTTTTAAATGTCAATACTTTTCATCCCTCGCTGAATTGCCTCGATTCAAAGGTCATGTTGTTTATCAGAGACGACATGCACCTGTGATTCCTTTGGAGAACATTGATGAGTGGGGAGATTTTGTGTGTATGGATTGCTTCATACTGGTTGAGTGAACACTGATGCAAGCCACGGATGTTTTTTTTCATAGTGCTGAGTGAGGTCTTTGCGTCAGACTAGAATAAGCTTTGGCCCATTTTTAAATAAATAAAGACCTCAAACCTCTAGGTTTGAAATATTCATCATAGAAATCATTAAGTTACTGGACTGCGTTCCACACTGTTCTGCACCGAGGGGGATGAGCCTGCTTTAGCACATTTTTTTCATACTCCAGTGCTGATTGTGTCGACGTATTTGAATTTTGGCTTTTCATTAAAGAAATACAGTATTTAGATGTCGGTGGATGGAGAGATTTCTCTGGTGATGGACAGACGGAGAGTAGACTTTTTCTCCGTGTTTGTTCCTCCATCTATTCCTGTCAACACTCTCCCCGTCATCGCCTTTCATGGACACTATTTCGGTCTCTCGACCTTCATATCTATCTCAGTTAAAGGAAACTAATACAGCGTATAAAACCCTATCGTCCCATGTTGTTGTGATCTGGTGTCAGTGTGTTTAGTGTCTAATGCATCCAGAGTTAAAGCTTCAGCTCTGGGGAGGGATTACCACAAGCTCAAACTCACACTCAGATCACAGGAAGACTCAAGCAGGGGCATGAAAAAGCAAACCAAAATGAAGTAGTCAAATATTTAGTTAACACAGACGTACATTGAACAAGGTCATTGTAGTTAATCAAATTTAAGACAAGAAGCAAGCATTAATATTCAGAAAGTGACAAGATGTTGAAACTGAAAATGTGACAGTCAACTGCGTCATGTTGATAAAAAATAAATTAATCTAAATAATCCACATTTTAATCTTTTAATAAAAATCCTGTACACGATGTGCATGTTATTAGGTTAATTCTGCAATAATGCCCCCTTGTGTATTTAATTCAATAAGACAAAACACATAGAGCAGCTTCTTCTGTAATATTAATATATTGTTTATATATTGATAAACATCAACATGCTAAAATAACTAAATGCTTTAAAAAAAGTAAACCTAATTTACATATTACTGTATCTATATAAATTATAGTCTTTGAGTAGTCTGAGGTCAAGTCAAAGTTAAATTTGTTGCATCTTTTATTTTGTTACATTTTAATTAAAAGGTTTGTTTCAGTGTTTTTGAAGCTATAAAAGCTATTTTTAAGAAAGGTCCACTGTATACGCATATGGCCTTTTGAACTTTTCTGTCTATTTTGCATTTCTTTTAATGCTATTTTGTGTATGTGCAAATAGGGCATGAACTCTAGAGACAGTCATGTGCATATGCGTACATTATAAAAGTGATTACAGCAAGATTCATTAACACACAAATTAATAAAAATGACGTTTTATGAGGGCAACAGGAGGGCAACCCTTTTGTCATTTACTGGTCTTTTTTTTCTTAATCATGACTAAATGATCAAGTAAATGCATCATCTAAGACGCATCTAAGTTGGCGACAGCAGGGTATGCAGCCAAAAGTTTGTGCCAGAGATGAGTAATCACCTTGGCAGAAGAGGAATGTAACAGGAGAAAAAAAACAAATCAATTGGATCAATATGAGCAAAGAGAGAAAGGATTTAGTCTTACCCAAGAGCATCCTGTAGATGTCCACCATCAACTTCCCTTTCAAACGATATTTTCTTGCTTGACTGCTCTCTCCCTCGATCAGCTACGGATGTGACTCAAACCTGAAGCATCCACTTCTCTGGCTCTCAAAACTCAGAGTGAGACAAGAAAAGACGTCCCAACATCGCAACCTTCACTTTGCATCCCTACGCTGTGTCTCTTCCGTTCCCCTCGTCCACATGAGATGCTTCTCCTTCAGATCTCGACACGCGTCTCTTGCTCAGCCAGCTGTTGCCAGAGGAGGAGCACAGCAGCAGCCCCGACTGCAACACAACACGCACTCAATTTACTGCAAGGAAGCCTGTAATATATTCACTGTTATATATTCACTCCAGCAGGAAGAACACCAGAGAATACAGCTGAGATGGAGCCCTGCTTCACTGAATGAACCTCTGCACCACAGCCTCTCTCTCTCTCTCTCTCTCTCTCTCTCTCTCTCTCTCTCTCTCTCGCTCTCTCATATTTTGTGGTTGGGTATAACCTAAAGGCACCTTGCATTCCTGTGCCGCGATTGGCCGAAGGCTTGGCCAATGAGAGCAGTCGGTGCTGAGCATTTTCTTGGGGTGTTTGAATAAGGAGGCAGAGTGATAATGCTGCTGTCGATTCTGCTCACCCTCTCCCTCTGTCACCCTTTTTCTGCTGTTTACTATTAACGTTTATTTTCTCTCTTATGTCTCTCCTCGTCTCACTCTGCCTCGTGCCTCACACCGACGGCATGTGAAACACGCCTGCCCTCACAACACCCCCCAATCCCCCCATCTGAGGCTGGATGTATGCTCTGGTCTCCCTTTCTACCTGTGTGTTTGAGGGTTGGGTGTTCAATTTTGAGTTCACACTGTAGTTGCCTTTCCACTGTTTGAACGGAGCAAAAAAAAAAGCAGACCGAAAAGAGCGATGGCGATTGATAGTTCGAGAGACTCGATGAAGCATTGGAGGGAGGGGAGGAGAGATTGAGGTTAACACAGACTGACTGAGGAGGAAAGTGTAAAGAGAGGAAATGTGGAAGATGTGATGGAGCAGGAGGATGAAGGAGCATGCAGACAGCTGTTTGACAAGCAGAGAGTGCTGACTATGCTCAGAAACTAAGCTTGCTTAGTTAATACTTACTACTTAGCTCAATGTGTTCAAAGCTGATGTATATTCAAGACTTCATCAAACTTTTTCCCACAAGATAATGCAGCATGACCTCCAGCTTTAAGCAACATGAAGTGATCTACTTCTACATAATTTATAGTAAATAAATACATACAGTGAATCAGATAATGATGTGTGTGTTTAAGTTTGTGTGAACCCAGGATGGAGGGTGTGTGTGTGTGTGTGCGAGAGAGAGGGATAAGGTTCCCTCATTAGTTGAGTCGGGCTGAATAATGCAGGTAGGTGTATTGTTGTGGCCAATGGGCCAGGTGCTAATGTGGCTGTCTGAGGGTGAAGGGGCAGACACAGCATGACTTTAATGGATGTCACCATGGGAAACTGTAATCGGACCACTGGACTCGGGTGACACACCGTTCTGCATGTGTGTCTCTTTAGTGATGCATGGTAAGGCTCTAAGATGTTCACTAATTAAAAGACTTCTTGTTTGGGTTAAAAGATGTTATTGCCACACTGATAGATAACAGAGCACTTAAGCAGCCAGTGTGTAGCATTTTCTTACATTACCTGAATGCCACCGTAGTTTACTACACATTTGTGAAACTGCAGTAACGTGGACCGCAGAATGCAACACCGTGGTGCCGTCAGCCGGCATGATTTCTGTTGCTCCGAAAGTAGTGTTATCGAGGTAAGGATGGCCTCTGAGCGAGGAGAACGGGGTTACCAGAGTTTTGAACTCACGGCTCATGTTACCGCAGTCTTGGAAAGGAATGAGTGGAGGTGTCGAACTATAAAAGAGTATAGTTTGGCTTTTGTTTGTCCAAGTGGTTGCCTGCTATTTGCCAAACACTGCCTTAATGGCTACATCGTGGCTTGTTTATAAGACGATTTTAAAAAAAAGCTGATTGATGTAGCCTTTCGTCGGGGTTTTGGACTGAGCTCTTATTGTACCATTGTTTAACACACATTGTGATTTTTCAAAGCAAAGCATAATGTGGTATAATAATAACTTGGACAGGAAATAGCAATTAAAATAACATTTTGCAAAGAGAATCTGTGTTTTTTTGAAATATGGACTCGTTTTTGACTATGTTGGACACTAATTGAATGTCTGCTAATGCTGCAGCGTGCTCTCTGGTGAACAGTCTAACCACGTCTAGCAGTACAGTACAGAGTATATAGAGGAGAGGTGGAGTATTTTCCTCTTGTCACTCAAAAATAAACGTTCCTCTTGCATAAAAAAGTATAGATATAATGATTGAGGTTGGTAGCATGGGTTGTAAGTAGTGCGCAGTACTGTACAGTCAGTGGCCCTGTGTGTGTATGTGCGTGCGTGTGATTATGTGCATGTGACTTCAATCATCCTGTCATTCCTTCATTCTGCCCCAGGAGGCCATGAATGTGTCGACAGGCTTGTTGAACTCTAATTTTAGCCTTGATCATTAGCAGTGAGTCCTGAGGAGTCCTGCCAACATTTAGTGAAGTCTTCATTTTATGTGTAACAACGTAAAACGGCCTAAACTTTAAGCATTGTGTTGAATCATAAACTTACAGGTTAAAGTGGCCAAACAGGTGAGGAGATGAAAGCAACTTTTTAACGAATAACTTACTTCCATATTCTATCCTTCATGACAAGTATGATTTTAATATTGCACTGCACAATCAAATTATGGGATCTACTTCTTGACAAACGGATAACAATATTTTAACTCAATTTGACTAGTTTTACTATTCTGCTCTTTGTGCTTTGTGGTCAGAGCATCTGGACTTAGGCTCAGGTCTAAACACACTTTAAAAGCAGCAAACTCTGTTTGGTTGTGAATCGATATGATGTAAAGTTACAGACAGTGTTTTTCTCTGGTCCTGGCAGAGTGACGGAATGGACCACCTCTAATCACATGACTGGGGTTGAATGTCACGTGATCACATGAGTCAACTTCAAAAAAAAGTCGGAAGAAGACGATGAAACTGGTTTAACGCCTCAGGAAAAGCTAGTAAGTAGATATCAATTAAGATTATTTTCTATTTTATCAAATATAGGAAAATTGTTTTCACGGATGTCATGTTTACAGGGAGGGATTTAACAATGTTAATTCTCTATGAAAGGCACTAATGACTTATTCCCGACGTCTGATGAATTCCTTTTGTACTTAATTTGCTTCTTTTTTAAGTCCAGACATACAACATGTGTATATGACCTGGTAAAGGTTCAGTGTTTTTTAGTTAAACTTAAACTAATCATCAAACTTTTTCTGTTAAGCCACTGGACAATTGTTTGAATCTTGCAAAAGAGGAAGAGGAATCACAACTCCCTGTAGTGTTATTGGCCCCGTTTCAAACATCTACAGGTCTTCCTTGGGCGACATTCCTTCCTTGTATTGCATTGAATATAGGTTTCCAACACATTTGAATCTTAAGCTTATAACACAGAAAACTTTGTGCACTTCATCACACATTGCTCATTATTTCTCCTGCGTCTGCCAAACTCTTCCATCCTGCTGTGATGCTGATAAGAGAACAATTTGGCCAGGAATGTCAGAAAGTGCACAGACAGTGCCCTCTTTATTTAAGCCTAAACTCTTTCTCTCTTTTCCCTCCTTCACCCTCCCTTCTTCCATCATTCCTTCCCTGCATCATACCAATGAATGATGTATGTAAAAGGTTGGGGGTCAGACCAGGTCTAAGTGCAAACTCCTTGTCTGACACTGAGTGCTGACGTTTGTTAGAGACTGCCCTAACTTTCATCAAAGAGAGAAACCTTCAAAGCTTCGTTGAAGACTGTCACTCGCTCTTTGTTTCTGCACAGAATATTGCAATAATGAGGGGATCCTGGCTTATCCACCTCTTGGTTCATTTTAAGGTGATCAAAGGAGGAATGCTCAGAGTTGTGGGTGGTTTTGCATCGCTCAGTAGTCGGTGATAATCTTACCTGAGCCCCACATTGGTCGCCTCTGTTCTTCACAAGCTCCAAATTCCGGTAGAGAGTCCAAATGTCAGTGTGTCAGCCAGCATACAGTAATATACACAGAGGTCCTCTTTGAGTGGAATTAGTAAAAGTACGCTCAAGTTACTGTGAAGAGATAAATAAAGTAGTACTGAGCGACATGAGAGCAGACCTTGCACCAGTCAGCTGGAGAGCAGAGAGGGAAATGCTCAGTGTAGCTGCATCAAACAGCAGGCGGCTTGGTGTTCAGCTTCTTCATCTTCCTCACAGTCTCTTTCTCTTTTCAGATTTATTTTAATCTATTTTAATCTATTTAAGTGTTTTCTTTATGTGTTATTTTTTCTTTCTTCTTCTTCTTCTTCCTGCCGTATGTATGCTCTTTCCAGGAGCAAAACAAACAAGTGCAAGAGATTCCAGAGGCTCTTAGGACGGTGGAACCTAATATGTGAGGACAACTGTGGCAGGAGGGAGATACAGGCAGAGAGAGAGAGAGAGAGAGAGAGAGTGTAAGGAAAAGGAGGAGCAGGACAGAGAGGAGGGGTACCCAGCGACGGGTGGAAGATCAGACGAATCGAGGATTGGAGTGTGTGTGTTGTTGAGGAGCAGGAAGGTGGCAAGCTGTTGAAACTTGAGAGACATGAAGGAGAGGAAGCAAATGTTGACATGGTGAAGCAAAGGGAAATATGATTGGCGGATGAAACAAATGGCTTTCAGGCTGTTGTTTCTTGTTGTTTCTTTTGTTGTTTGATTGGGAAACGGGTTCCCACACAAATGACTCTGCCCAACAGGTTTCTTTCTCAGATATGCTAAATGGCTCGAATAAACAACAGACGAAATGTGCCTTCGTCACACAACTATCAAACCATGGTTCAATGCTGCTGTATATCTGAGGGGGGGGAGTGTGATAGCCAGATGAGAGAAGTCCTAAAACTGCAATTGCTTGCAATTAGTTTTCTTGGTCTTCCTTTTGGTGTTTTGATTATGCAAATTTGGCAGAAAGGTCACAGAGTGAAGTGGATTAAAAGTGATGCATATATTTTGTGTGACAGCAAATTTGTCTTGTGTTACCAATAATTTACAAGTAAAAGAACTTGAGTTATTAAGATGTTCTATAAATTACACAATGCAAAGGCACAGACAGTAGTTTGTACATTATTGGCAGCATTCTGATATAATTAGAAAACACAACATATCACACTGTGTGAGGGACAGAAAAGGTAAAGTCCTGACTTATGCCAAACATTGTCCAAGGTGTTCTTACAGCTCACCAACCTTTATCATTATATACCCCGAGACAATATAAATGTGTCAACTTGGAGATTGTGTTATACTATACTGTGGTAGCTAACCCTCGTAGTTTA